TATGAGATAGTTGATGAAATTGCCTTGCATTTATTTATATATGTGTTTCTTCTATTGCCCTGCTAGCTTGACCAACATCTGGCTAAGCTAACATTTTCTGTACACACTAACAACCAGCACAGATACAACTGGTCTGGAACACAGAATACATTTATATAGCCAGACTAGAATACATGAGGACTCTTAGCTAGCTATCTCTGTATTGTTAACAGAACAGCATCTGATTGGCTGAACAGTAAGGTATTAAAAACATGGACTTAGGACATAGCACAGGCCATGCACATCACCAGGACCAGAGAAGCAACTCCTAAACTAATGGGATGATGTCGTGTATGTTTTTTTCATGCACTCAAAGTACAGTGGGCACTATGTATCAAAGTAAGAAAATATTTTCATGTACACAAAGTACAGTGGGCACTATGGGGTTTATTTACTAAACCTGGTTAACTCAGAATCTTGGGCACCTGTGCATGGTAGCCAATCAGCCTTTAACCTCAGCATGTTCAGTTAAGCTTCAGCAATAAAACCTGGAAGCTGATTGGTTTTTATGCAAAAGTGGACAAGATTCTGAGTCAACCAGGTTTAGTAAATAAACCCCTATGTGTCAAAGTAATAAAATATTTTCATGTACACAAAGTACAGTGGGCACTATGTATCAAAGTAAGAAAATATTTTCATGTACACAAGACACAGTGGGCACTATGTATCAAAGTAATAAAATATTTTCATGTACACAAAGTACAGTGGGCACTATGTATCAAAGTAAGAAAATATTTTCATGTACACAAAGTACAGTGGGCACTGTGTCAAAGTAATAAAATATTTTCATGTACACAAAGTACAGTGGGCACTGTGTCAAGTAATAAAATATTTTCATGTACACAAAGTACAGTGGGCACTGTGTCAAGTAATAAAATATTTTCATGTACACAAAGTACAGTGGGCACTATGTGTCAAAGTAATAAAATATTTTCATGTACACAAAGTACAGTGGGCACTATGTGTCAAAGTAATAAAATATTTTCATGTACACAAAGTACAGTGGGCACAATGTGTCAAAGTAATAAAATATTTTCATGTACACAAAGTACAGTTGGCACTATGTGTCAAAGTAATATAAAATATTTTCATGTACACAAAGTACAGTGGGCACTATGTATCAAAGTAAGAAAATATTTTCATGTACACAAAGTACAGTGAGCACTATTGTTAAAGTAATAAAATATTTTCATGTACACAAAGTACAGTGGGCACTATGTATCAAAGTAAGAAAATATTTTCATTTACACAAAGTACAGTTGGCACTATGGGGTTTATTTACTAAACCTGGTTAACTCAGAATCTTGGGCACCTGTGCATGGTAGCCAATCAGCCTTTAACCTCAGCATGTTCAGTTAAGCTTCAGCAATAAAACCTGGAAGCTGATTGGTTTTTATGCAAAAGTGGACAAGATTCTGAGTCAACCAGGTTTAGTAAATAAACCCCTCTGTGTCAAAGTAATAAAATATTTTCATGTACACAAAGTATAGTGGGCACTATGTATCAAAGTAAGAAAATATTTTCATGTACACAAGACACAGTGGGCACTATGTATCAAAGTAATAAAATATTTTCATGTACACAAAGTACAGTGGGCACTATGTATCAAAGTAAGAAAATAATTTCATGTACACAAGATACAGTGGGCACTATGTATCAAAGTAAGAAAATATTTTCATGTACACAAAGTACAGTGGGCACTGTGTCAAAGTAATAAAATATTTTCATGTACACAAAGTACAGTGGGCACTGTGTCAAGTAATAAAATATTTTCATGTACACAAAGTACAGTGGGCACTATGTATCAAAGTAATAAAATATTTTCATGTACACAAAGTACAGTGGGCACTATGTATCAAAGTAAGAAAATATTTTCATTTACACAAAATACAGTTGGCACTATGTATCAAAGTAATAAAATATTTTCATGTACACAAAGTACAGTGGGCACTATGTATCAAAGTAAGAAAATATTTTCATGTACACAAAGTACAGTGGGCACTATGTGTCAAAGTAAGAAAATATTTTCATGTACACAAAGTACAGTGGGCACTATGTGTCAAAGTAAGAAAATATTTTTCATGTACACAAAGTACAGTGGGCACTATGTGTCAAAGTAATAAAATATTTTCATGTACACAAAGTACAGTGGGCACTATGTATCAAAGTAAGAAAATATTTTCATGTACACAAAGTACAGTGAGCACTATTGTTAAAGTAATAAAATATTTTCATGTACACAAAGTACAGTGGGCACTATGTATCAAAGTAAGAAAATATTTTCATGTACACAAAGTACAGTTGGCACTATGTATCAAAGTAATAAAATATTTTCATGTACAGTGGGCAGGCACTATGTATCAAAGTAAGAAAATATTTTCATGTACACAAAGTACAGTGGGCACTATGTGTCAAAGTAATAAAATATTTTCATGTACACAAAGTACAGTAGGTACTATGTATCAAAGTAAGAAAATATTTTCATGTACACAAAGTACAGTTGGCACTATGTATCAAAGTAAGAAAATATTTCCATGTACACAAGATACAGTAGGCACTATGTATCAAAGTTATAAAATATTTTATTCTGATGAGAGATTTTCTTTAAAGTTGACTCTTCATAATTATTAAATATGATTATCTGTAAAGGTTGTTAATTTCGACACATTAACATAAATGCTTTTGGTGTGTAAACCTATTCCATATACAGTGGGGATCGAAAGTTTGGGCACCCCAGCTAAAAATTTGTATTAATGTGCATAAGGAAGCCAAGGAAAGATGGAAAAATCTCCAAAAGGCATCAAATTACAGATTAGACATTCTTATAATATGTCAACAAAAGTTAGATTTTATTTCCATCATTTACACTTTCAAAATAACAGAAAACAAAAAAATGGCGTCTGCAAAAGTTTGGGCACCCTGCAGAGTTAATATCTTGTACTGCCCCCTTTGGCAAGTATCACAGCTTGTAAACGCTTTTTGTAGCCAGCCAAGAGTCTTTCAATTTTTGTTTGAGGTATCTTTGCCCATTCTTCCTTACAAAAGTCTTCCAGTTCTTTGAGATTTCTGGGCTGTCTGTCACGCACTGCTCTTTTAAGGTCTATCCATAGATTTTCAATTATGTTGAGGTCAGGAGATTGTGAAGGCCATGGCAAAACCTTCAGTTTACGCCTCTTGATGTAATCCCCTGTGGATTTCCAGGTGTGTTTAGGATCATTATCCATTTGTAGAAGCCATCCTCTCTTTAACTTCAGCTTTTTCACAGATGGCATCAAGTTACCATCCAAAATTTGCTGAAATTTTATTGAATCCATTTTTCTTCTACTCGTGAGATGTTCCCTGTGCCACTGGCTGCAACACAACCCCAAAGCATGATTGATCCAACCCCATGCTTAACAGTTGGACAGAGGTTCTTTTCATTAAATTCTGTGCCCCTTCTTCTCCAAACGTACCTTTGCTCATTCCGGCCAAAAAGTTCAATTTTAACCTCATCGGTCCACAGAACTTGTTTCCAAAATGCATCAGGCTTGTCTATATGTTCATTTGCAAAGTTCAAACGATGATTTTTGTGGTGAGGACGTAGAAGAGGTTTTCTTCTGATGACTCTTCCATGAAGACCATATTTGTACAAGTATCTCTTTATAGTGGAATAGTGTAGCACAACTCCAGTGTCTGTCAGATCTTTCTGGAGGGATCGTGCAGTCAAACGTGGGTTTTGAATTGTTTTTCTCACATTCCTGCGAGCTGTTCTGTCTGATATTTTTCTTGGTCTTCCAGATCTTGCTTTAACTTCCACTGTTCCTGATGACTGCCATTTCTTAATTACATTCCAAACAGAGGATATTGACATCTGAAAACGCTTTTCTATCTTCTTATAGCCTTCTCCAGCTTTGTGAGCGTCAACTATTTTCAGTTTCAGTTTTCTAGACAACTGCTTAGAAGAACCCATGGTGCTGATTGTTGGGGCAAGGTCAGATGAGTCTGGGCATTTAAAACCTTTGAGATTGACATCATCTGGTCTTCCCAGATGATGATTGAGAACAATCCATGACACTGGCAGGTCTCAGCTTTGCAAAGGGGGCAGTGAATGCTATAAATTCTGCAGGGTGCCCAAACTTTTGCAGACACCATTTTTTTGTTTTCTGTTATTTTGAAAATGTAAATGACGTAAATAAAATCTAACTTTTGTTGACATATTATAAGACTGTCTAATCTGTAATTTGATGCCTTTTGGAGATTTTACCATCTTTCCTTGGCTTCTTTATGCACATTAATACAAATTTTTAGCTGGGGTGCCCAAACTTTCGATCCCCACTGTAGTTAAAGTAAAAATCCAACCAAAATGTTTTCCTTTTTTTTTCATAAAGTGGTGAGGGGTTGGAATCTCGTTTTTTATTTCTGTATGTGGAGATAATTTTCTTTACTTCCTGTCCCATTGACAGTGCTGATTCAGTAAGCCATAAGATCTTTTTTTTAATAAAGACACATACAGCAGTAAAACAGTTAATTGTAATAGAGTGAGTAAGGGTTTTGACTCACATCAAGGTGTTATTGTTGTATGTATTCCCATTGGGGAGATTTCTGACACATCTTATCCCAGTAACAGTTATCACAAGCACAGGAAGTGAGAAAGAATCTCTCTGACAAAGACACAGCAGTGAAAACCTGATAGATGTTTTAACTATTTCACAGACTAAAACTAAAAAAAAAAAAAAATTGGCTGAAGGTTCACTTTATGTTCTGATGTGATCTGGTTTTTATCTAAAATAAAACCAGTTTAGAAAGTATTCAAGGAATTATCAAAGAACATCCTGTGCAGAATTGTGTTAAATAAATGATGACTGTGTTTTTTGTCTGCGGTATCTGACTTGAGAAGTTCATATGCAATTGTTTATGTACAATGTGTTGCAGGCAGTGCTGTAAGTGAATAAATCTTTCTGTCTCTGTATTTACCTTCCCAGATGTTCCAGCCTATTATTTTACTTATCCTCATCCTAGTATTATTTTCTTCTCTTTCCTACACAACTATATTTAAGCTCGTCTTCCTTTTCACCCTCTTTTTTGTCCTGTAACCCTTTCCACCATTTTCTGTTTTGTCATGTTATTATTTATTTTCAGTTTTGTTTATTTTATCCATTCATCAAGATAAGCCGTAAAAGAAATATAGTTTCTGTTCTGTTACGAAAAACACTGAAGACTTCATGTATACCCGATCCCACATTATCCAGCTTCTGCAAGTAAGTTATTCACACATTTCTTTTATTTATAATTTTGTAATATTATGGATATTATAGTGTATGAACATTCAGATCAAAGCTTAACTTTGGGCATATTAGGAATGAATAATATGTCTATAAGTCCCCCGCTCATTAAAGTGTAATTAAACCCAAAAGCAAATATAGGACATACTATATTGCCAAAAGTATTGGGACGCCTGCCTTTACATGCACATGAACTCTAATGGAATCCCAGTCCGTAGGGTTCAATATTGAGTTGGCCCACCCTTTGCAGCTATAACAGCTTCAACTATTATGGGAAGGCTGTCCACAACGATGTCAGATGAGAAGGCCTGGTTCGCAGTCTCTGCTCTAATTCATCCCAAAGGTGTTCTGTTCGGTTGAGGTCAGGACTCTGTACAGGCCAGTCAAGTTCCTCCACCCCAAACTTTATGGACCTTGCTTTGTGCATTGGTGCGCAGTCATGTTGGGACAGGAAGGGGTCATCTCCAAACTGTTCCCACAAAGTTGGGAGCATGAAATTGTCCAAAATGTCTTGGTGTGCTGACGCCTTAAGAGTTCCCTTCACTGGAACTAATAGGCCAAGCCTAACCCCTGAAAAACAACCCCACACCATAATACCCCCCTCCACCAAACTTTACATTTGGCACATTGCAGTCAGGGAAGTACTGTTCTCCTGGCAACCGCCAAACCCAGACATGTCCATCCATTGCTAGACAGAGAAGCATGATTGGTCACTCCAGAGAACACGTCTTTACTGCTCTAGAGTCCAGTGGTGGCGTGCTTTACACCACTGCATCCGACGCTTTGCATTGCACTTGGTGATGTAAGGCTTGGATGCAGCTGCTCGGCCATGGAAACCCATTCCATGAAGCTCTCTACACACTGTTGTTGTGCTAATCTGAAGGCCACACAAAGTTTGGAGGTCTTTAGCTACCATGCTTGTATTCGCTGAGCTCTTGACAGTGACCCATTTTTTCTCAGATGTTTGTAGGAGCAGTCTGCATGCCTAGGTGCTTGATTTTATACACCTGTGGCCAGGGGCGGACTGACCATTTGGAAACTCGGGCACTGCCCTAGGGCCTGGGGTCAGTAGGGGGCCCCATGAGATGCCCTTGGTACCTTTTTAATAGGCTTTTTTGAGTTTGGGCAAGGACACAGGGGCCCCATAATCCCCTATTGCCCGGGGCCCCATGAGTTGTCAGTCCGCCCCTGCCTGTGGCCATGGAGGTGATTGGAACACCAGAATCCAAAGATTTGGAGGGGTGTCCCAATACATTTGGCAATATAGTGTATATTTCAGCTTACCAGTTCTTAGATGTGATGGCTGCATTAGTTTTTATTTAGGCTTTTTTCCTTTATTTTCACCTGATGATCTGGCCAGTAAGTCTGTGGGTTTTCAACAGCACAAGCTGTCCTGCAGATGTAGCAGTTAGAGGGTTGAGACAAACCTCACTGACAGGGATGTTTACAATGGTCAGCTTTTATTTATTTAAGTAAAACCTTTGTCGCAAATGAAAAAATAAGCCTGTTGCTGTAACTGCTTAAAAAGTGTTAGCTGGAGTTTGGCTTGAATTTGTTACTGAATCTAAATCTGCTAGTACATCGAACACTCCCCTCCCCCCAGACTGACAGTGCTGCTGTTCAAATGTGTCTAAGTTGTTACTTCATTCAGAATGTAGGCACCCTAACCCTAGGTTCACACCTAGACGTTTTCTGCAACGTTTTGCAGAAACACAGTACAGTCCATTTAACATGATTTCCTATGGGACAGGTTCACATCTCCGTGTTTGCACCCGGTGCATTTTTTTGTAAAGGTTCAGGGACTTTTTTGAGCAGAAAACATTGCGTTTTTGGTTCTATAGACTTCAATTGAAACGCTGCAGAAAAGCATACATTGCATTTTAGTTGCACTTTTGCCACATTTTTAATGCATTTTGCATTTAAAATCTGCCTAGCAACAAGAAAACAAAATGCCCCCCCTACAAAACGCATCAATAACATGGCAAAACCACAATGCAAAATGCAGTGCAGAAACTCACAAAACACAACCTGCATAGGTGTGAACCTAGGTTAGGCAGGAAGTGTGTTATTGGCCAGATCACAGGTGAAAGCTAATGCAGCCACCACATCTAATGATTGACAAGCTGCAATATATTACATTTTTTTTTACTGGGGGTAATGCTCACCTTATCTTACATTCCCACAAGCTTTCTCCCCACACAAGTTTTGCTTGTGACATCCAGTTCTACAAAGCATCTCTGCATGATGGTCTCCAACTGTCCCTCCTGCCTCCTGCCAAGATCATCATGCCTGCACTGTAACCAGCGCAGGACTTACAATCATGTCATCAGGGTGGGATATGGTCGCTGGCAGAAGTGCCTGCCTACTTTCCAGTTATGTAAAATAGAGGACCAGGCAGTTGGCTGTTACAGAACCAAGAAGTAAGAAGAATGGTTTTACTGTGTGCTGGCTAACCTCTTAAAAAAATTAACAATCAATTCTTCATGGGGACTGGTAAATATGTAAGTATTTTTAATGTGTTATGAGTAAGGTTTTAAAATGTATCTCTGCTATTTTGTTTATATAGAGTAGGCAATTTATTTTTTTATATAGAACAGACGTCAGTTGTATCATTATATGCATATTTTAATGAAAATTACGTTTTCCTTAAGTAATACAATGCAAAACATGAGGGGATTGAGGGCCCTGCTCTTTCGAGTTTACAATCTAGGAGGGAGGGGATGGTGGCACAGGAGGAGAAAGCTGTGGGGGATGGAGTGGTAGGAAGAGTGGAGGAGGTCGGCAAGTTAGCAGGGGGTGGGGTAGGCTTCCCTGAAGAGGTGGGTTTTCAGGGTGCACCTAAAGGAGAGGAGAGTAGGTGATAATCTGATGGGTTGGGGCAGGGAGTTCCAGAGGATGGGTGACACCCTGGAGAGGTCCTCTAGGCAGGCATGGGAGGAAGGAGACCAGGGAACTAGAGAGAAGGAGGTCTTGTGAGGAGCGGAGTATGCGTGCTGGCTGGTACTTGGATATTAGGTCAGTGATGTAGTTCGGGGCAGTATGGTGGACAGCTTTGTACATCAGTGTTAGGATTTTGAATTTGATCCGTTGTGCAATCGGAAGCCAGTGGAGGTATTTGCAGAGTGATTGGCAAAGGGGGGTGGCGGAGATGGAGCAGTTGGAAAGGTGAATGAGTCTGGCAGCCGTATTCAGGATCGACTGAAGCGGGGATAGCCAGCGGCGAGGCAGGCCAGTGAGGAGGGAGTTGAGTCGTGACATGATGAGCGAGTGGATGAGCTGTTTAGCTCTCTGCATTAAGGTAAAAAAGCCTTCCATAATCAGCTCCAGCCAACCACCCACCCTCCACCAAATACTTATCTGAGTCGAATCACAATCCAGTGCTGTGCCCGTCTGCAGCAGCGCTACTCACTCTCTCTCCTCAGGACATGGAGGCAGCAGTGGGAGGCATTGGCTCTTGCTACTGGCAATCAAACCCTGTAAGAAGGGAGCAGATGTTGGGGTTGCGCCACACTGTGTGTGTCCATAGATGCACACAGCCCAGCTCTGGATTGAGCCCTCTGGGTCCCTCTAACAAGCAGCTTGCTATGAGGGCACTCAGGAGGGAGAAGAAGCTGAGAGTGCTTATGGGTGGTTCGATGTTGCTCTGTGCAAAACCCACAACACAAAAAATTGAACCTTTACAATCATTTTAATAGACTGACTCCAGGGTAGGTCTTGCCCCAGCTCAGTAAAAAGAGGATTAATAGGCGGAGACATCTTACTTCCCTTGTTTACAATGATGCTTTGTGGTCTTTTTCCCAATTCAGACAATGGTATAGAAAGGTACAGTTGTGATGACAATTATTTTCTGCGAATAAGGAAATGATCAGTGCATGGGTCAAACACAGATTTCCAAACATCAGTTGGTTTAACATGAATCACCACAGTTGTTGCTTATATAGGTGATATAATTTGTGTCATGGCCACCCAAGAGACTGTGTTTGTTTTCATGCATGTGTTTGGTTTACATTGTATTTGCATTAAATGCAGGATTGTAAACCCTTGCATATAGCCAGTGAAGTGACTGACCTCAGGTAATACAAATCCTCCTACATAAGTTGTACCTGTCTATCTGCAGTCTTCTCTACATCTTTTCAAAGCCAAGAATTTTTACAGCTTTTCCAAGCTTTCAGAAAACAGGGGAGCTGAAGTTACACACTGCAGAGCTCAGTCACGAGAGCTCCCTTTGCACAGTACACAACAACAAAGCTGAGGCTGTCAATCACAGGCTAGGGGCTGGAGGTTCCTCCCATTTCACCTTTTTTCTCTTGGTGTCAGGAAAACCTGTCAGAAGTAACATATTCTCATGGCAGTACTGTGGCTCAATGGTTAGCGCTTCTGCCTTGCAGTACTAGGGTTGTTGGTTCAAGTCCCAATGACAGCACCACCTGCCGGGAGTTTGCATGTTCTCCCTGTGCCTGTGTGGGTTTCCTCTCACACTCAAAAGACATGCTGGTAGGTAGGTTGGTGCTGTTTAAATTGACAATGCTTTATAAGTACCTCTAATAAAAATAGTAAAAGAGGCAGCAGACAGAAATGACACTTAGGGGTTGATTTGCTAAAGGCAAATAGACTGTGCTCTTTGCAAAGTACAGTTTCTCCAGATCTTAGTAAATGAGGTAAAGCTTCACTTTGCAAATAATACTCAATCACGTGCAAGAAAAATTAAGAAATCATTTTTACTTGCACATGATTGCCTGATGGAAGTCATCAGAACTTCTGCTCATTTACTAAGCTCTGGGGCAACTGCAATTTGCAATGTGCACAGTTCA